GGGCTGGAGCAGAGGTGGGGGTTGTCTGCCGGGAGGGATGGCGGGGGAGAAGCGGTGAAGAGCCGCCGGCCCCTGCCCCGGGCGAGTGGGGCTGGGCAGCCGGCGGAGGCGCGGCGGGGGCTTTCGGAGCTCCGGGGCCGGGCTGCGCCCTGGGGAGGCAGTTCTCGCAGCACCCTGGGGGGCCCGGGGAGAGAGGGCAGCGGACTCCTGCCTTTTTTGCTTTTTCTTTTCCTTCCTTTTTTTTCCTTTTTTTCTTTTCCTCCTTTTCCTTTTCCTTTTCCTATTCCTTTTCCTATTCCTTTTCCTATTCCTTCCCCCCTTTTTTCTCCTCCCCCGCTTTTTCCTTTTTCCTTTTCCTTTTTTCCTTTTTCCCTTTTCCTTTTTTCCTTCCCCCCCCTCCAGAGAGGAAACCCCACGCCACCACCGCCAACGAGAACCCGGGGTCTATGTCCCTAACGGGGGCGAGCACTGTCTTTGATGATCACCGTCTGTCTGTCTGGAGGGGAACTGTGTCCCGCCTGCAGCCCGCGGGGCTCCTTGCGCAGGGGGGAGCGGAGTTTGCGCGGGGCCGGGGCCGGGGCCGGGGCCGGCCGAGGAGGTGGCAGCAAAGTGGTGCTTCTGTGCCGTCCTCGTCAGAAGGGGGGGGGGTAGTGCAAAGTGGAAAGGGGGTGATCTCTGCAGTGAGATGTCAGATTAAATGTCACGCGTCCCCCTCCTCGATTCAATAAGGCTCGATATTGCAAAACCACCTCTTGTCGGCACGTCCCGGGCAGCCCTGGAGGTCTCCCAGAGGAGCCCTTCACCCCAACTTGTTTTTGACACTAAAATGTGGAGCGGAGCCTATTTTCTTACCTATGAATATGTTTTGGTTTTTTTTTTTTAAATAGCGACTGTAGGCAATGAAGGCATGAATGAGGGCAATCAGGGAACATGATGAAGTGATAACTTAATAAAAACCAGACTGTTGCTTTCATGTTGAAAATCACTCGGAATGTCATTAGGTTATTGTTTCGGATTGTTATTGCCTATATTCCCTCAAGGCCTATGGCCCAGGGTCCTTTCCTCATGGATACCACACAGCTACACTGAAACTGCCCCTGCCTGGCTGTAAGGAATCTGAGGCACCCGACGGACAAGGAGCCTGTCTGTGACCACGGCTCCTTGAGGACTGGCAGCTGAAAACAGTTTTAATGATGCCTCAGAAGCTGTAAGGCCTGATCCCCAGTGCTGTCTGTCTCCCATCTGTTAGCAGGGCTGTGGGCTTGAAATTGGGCTTTGCAGTTCCAGAGCCTTTTAAACTTTTCCAGTTGAGAGCGCGGACTTCAGGGAGTCTGCTGGGGTCACAGTTGCCACCCCTGCCCAGCCAAACACCGCAGGACCACAAATCTCAGCACCTGACACTGAGGAGATGAGGATGTGGAGGTTGCTTGCAAGCTCTCTTCCCACTGTTGAAAGGTATGAGGAGATCCCAGGGCAGGGAATAACTTCCTCAAGGTTCAGGTTTGCCCCCCCACCCCTATTTTTTCCCCCCTTTTCTTTCTGAATGTATCTCGATCAGATACAAATGTATTTTTTGCTGTTGTTCTGGACTTACAGTGAAGTCTAGTCTGTGGGCTTTGATGCCGTTCCACCTGCCCAACTAACACATTTGATACCTATGATCTCCAAGAAAGGGACTCAAGTTCATTGTGCGGGGCAGTTGTTTTTATTCTGTTGAGGTTCTTCTTTCTTCCAGTGCTAGATTTGTTTTTGTTAACACTTGTTCGATTGAAATGTTGGAGACACATGCTCTTTGCCAAAAACTCAGCATGTCTTCCCATTCAATCAGAGACTGGAAACGCTTCTAATCTTCACAGGAGTCACCCAGAGGGAAGTCTCAGAAATATCAGAGCTGATGTTTGTGATATTTGCAGGATTAAAAATATGCAGGAAATAGGCCATCTCCTATTCTCATCTAGCAGAAAAAACCCTCTTTATAAATAAACTTTTGTCACTTATGAGCCTGCTGTCATCTACAACAAAATAATTAGATTGCTATTTAAAACCCAGGCTAGATTCTGTGTCTTACACCTTTCAGGCTCAGTCATCCCTCCTCTCAAGCATGGCCATTTACTCAAACATGACAAGTCTCACACCTGTGAGATTAATGGGGATTGACTTTCTCCGACCTTAGGACATTATCAAAACCACCTCATCCAGATCCCTTTTAACTCTTTGGTGCAGGTGTAAGACATACAAGCTTTCTGACCATAATTTGCTGTGTTTAATACAAGATGCTGTATTTTTTACAAGATATGGTATGATTTCATTTAATACATTGCTGGAGGAAAAACTTTTAAGGATGCAATAGATAACTCCATACCACCATTTTATTGCCTTAACAAAAGGCAATGCCTAGAACTTATAAACCAGTATGACAGCTATTTCATTTTAACAGCTGCTATGTGTTACCAACAATTTCACTTCTCGTTTACAATATCATCTCCTATGGGCAAATGAGGAGAAAGAGGCTGAAACACCAAGAAAGCACCGTGCTGGCAGGCCCACTGGCACCTCCTGTCCTGGGCATCCTGGGCAGGCATCTGTTGACAGCCACTTCATAAAGTATTCAAGCTTTTCTCAGGATTGGTTTCATGCTGAGGCTGAGCAGAGAAATACCTGTGTGGCACCGTTTCTATGGGGCTGGTGAAGCATTTCAAGTCTGCAGAGGAGTGGGACCTCTGCAGAAATGTCACCTTGCTAAGCAGAGGTGCGCTGTGCATGACGCCTTCCCTTGGACCCGGAGATGGGAGGTGACAACCTGCCAGCCTCCACTGGTTTTTAGTCCAGGTACTGCTCTGTTACAGAGGAGATACAGTGGTAATGAAAAATGATGTGTTTAACTTTCCCCGGGGCTTGATGCTGTCCCTCATGTGCAAATCCTCCCAAAATGAGCTGCCGTAGCAGGCAAGGAGCAGTGGGAACATCCGAGAGAAACAAATCAATGCCACTGCTATGATTGGCTTTTGGATGGAGAGAGGCAAGGAAACAGAGCTGGAAGGGTCGTGATTTGCCCAGCCACATGCAGTTTTCTGTCTCACAGGAGACAGAACTGGGGGTTTTGCTCTGCACCAGCCAAGCTGGACACCAATGGGATTAGAAAATCACCCACATGTTCAATCTGGTGAGCTGGTCCGAACTGCCTTCATCCCCTGGTCACAGCAGCAGGGCCTGAAGGTGGGAAAGAAATGTGTGTTATATAGATGGAGGGGCAAAGAAAGCCCCGGCACAACTAGGCGTATCTCCTCTGTAAAAAATGGAGTGTCCTTGTCAGGGCTGAACTTAGTCTAGAAAATCATATTTTACTCTAATTTTTGCAGGAAATTCCCATATAATACAGCATGGACTATTAGTTCTCATTTTGAGTTTCCTGGGCAGCATTTTCATAATTTTTTTTTTTCCACATTTTGCCATTTGTCTGTATGTGGCACTCTTATACTACCCTTCTTTTCCACTTTCCATT